TTTATTGATTTCAGAGAGGAAACGAGAGGGAGAGAGAGAAACATCAATGATGAGAGTCACTGATCGGCTGCCTCCTGCTTGCCCCTCACTGGGGATTGAGCCCACAACCTGGGCCGATGTCCTGATGGGGAATTGGACCCCGATCTCCTGGATCCTAGGTTGATGCTCAATTGCTGAGCCACACTGGGCTGGGCAACAATAAAAAACTTAGATAGGTGTAGAGGAAACATGGAGTGAGAAGATGTTAGGCAGCCCTCAAAAAATAAAGCAAGTGGATATGATCATACCAGCCTTTTAGTTGCTCAGAATATATTTCATCTGGCTGTCAGTATTAGTGTTCCAACCCCAGAAAATATTTGTTCTCCAACATTTCTAAATCTATTTTTAAGAATACATTACATATGTCTAAGGATATGACATATGTCTGGGGATATGGTTATATAGTAAATATACATTGGTTACCAGGATGGCTACAGTGTTGGCATCCATTAAGGTGTTGAAAGTGTGCATCTGACTCTGAGGAAAGGATTTGCAGTCAAAGATTTCATTTCCTCCCTGGGAAATAATGATCCTTTCACCTGTTTTTCTACATGACATTTCTTACTGAATTTGCTGAGATATGATGTGTTTGAAATTCTCAGAATATGACACATATCTGGAAGTAATGATTATGTACTAAATTACATTGGGTGCCAGGATGGCTGCAATGTTGGCACCTCTGAAGTTTTGGAAAGGGAATCTGAAGGCAAGATAAAGGTTTTGGATTCAAGGATTTCACCACCGTGCTGGGAAATGATCATTTCACCTAAATGAAGTGACAGTGTGTGCATGGATCTGCAGATTATTTCTGGAAGAGAATTATGAAGTTAGCAAAAGATGGAAAGGTTGATTGATTTAGTTATAAAATGACCATTACTGAAATAGCTAGAATATAAATGGCTCTATGAAGCCTGAGAACAGGTAAGTCTCAATGGGTGGTAATTAAAAGACATTGAGTTCTAAAAGATGAGAGAATTGTGTCGTGGCTAGTGTTGCACAGTGGTTAGAGCACTGGCCCATTGCATTGAAGGGTTGAGGGTTTGATTCTGGGTCAAGGGCACGTACCTGTGTTGCAGGTTCAATTCTGAGTCCCAGTGAGGGTTAGTGCGGGAGGCATCCGGTCTCTCACATCAATGTTTCTCTCTCTCCCTCTCCCTATCTCTGCCTTCCTCCCTTCCATTTTCTCTTTTAAAAAAGTTACTGGAAAAAATAATCTTAGGTGAGGATTACAAAACACAAAAACAAACCAAAAAAGGTGAGAGAATTACTTGAGCTATGGCTATGCTGACATCTTGGCTACCCTGAAATTCTTGTTTCTACAAAGTGTGATAAGTCTTTTTTATTCATGAGAACCTGAGTAAAAAATAGTGAACCCTAGCCACTTTGCTCAGTGGTTAGAGTGTCAGCAGGAGAACTGAAGGATCCTGTGTTCTATTCTGGCCAAGGGCATGAGCCTCGGTTGCAGGCTCAATACCTGACACATGCGGGAGGCAACCAATCTATGTGTCTCACATTTTCTCTTAAAAAGCAATGGGAAAAATGTCCTTGGGTAAAGATTTAAAAAAAAAAAAAAAATGAGTAAGAAAGATAAAGTATGATGTAAGCCAGGAAAATTAGAATTGTGGAAGAAAGGTGATGGCATCGTGTTTCACTGCTTCAACAATCATGTACTAATTATCTCATCTGCTTCAGAGACTGAACTGGTCTGTGTTATACAGCAGTTAGTAAAGAAATGTTTTCGCAACCAGGCTTGTTCAAAGCGTTTATTGGAGTAGCCATTAATTCAAAAAGAAAATATGCTGTTATAGTAAATTATTAGGTGACAGGTGCTGTGGAAATATAAAATGAGCAGCACTCAGGAATGACTAACATGGATCCTCAGGATTTTTAACAGCACAGGTGTAAAGGAGGTGGGAAAGAAACTTTATTTCATCTGGAAGATGTTTCATGGACTAGAAAACGTTGTATAGTTGTCCTATGCCAGAAGTTTGCAGAGAGTACCAGATCACTCCTATGATCATTCTGCCAGTTTCAGGATGCTGGGGGTTATTTGCATTTAGAAGTGATTTCTGTAATTTCAGGTAAGTGTTTAGATTCTCTTCTACTTCTCTGTTACATTACTTAGTTTTAATGTTTTTCAAATTTTGGTTTATATTTCACTAAATCTATATTTGCTCTGAATTTTTAAGTAAGCTTCTTACAGAATTAGTATTAATTTTTAATATTCACTGCACATATGCATACCCATACTTATTACTTATATTTCCTGTGATTTTTAAGTTTCTGACTCTACATAGGTCAACTTTAATGAATATATGAATATACTGAATATATACTTCATTTACTCCACGTACAATTTATAAATAGGTTTGTAATTTTATCACATTTACAATGTCTGAAATATTACCTCAATGACATCTTAGATACGTCCATAAAGAACAAATTTTCTTTCACTCTGATAATTACAATTGCATTTCACTTTAATAAAAAAACCAGTAACTTTGTCATAATTCAATTCTCCCACTTTTTCAGAAATTTATGTTACTTGATGTTCAAATTATAACTAAAAAGTAGACTTCCATTTTATGCTTATATTATGCATCTTATTTTTTATTTCAAGGCCTGTCCTACATTGTTGTGTTATATTTGCCACATACATATATGCTGGTGTAAGTCAGTCATTTATGTCATAAAATATTCCAGACTGTAATACAGGCAATGCCTTGGTTTTTTGGGTTCTTTTTGTCCTCACTTGAGGATATTTTTTCCCATTGCTTTTTCAGAGAGTGGAGGGGTGAGAGAGAAAGATAGATGTGACACACATCGCTTGGTTGGCCCCACCCCTACCGCCGCCAGGGAGAGCCTGCAAATGAGGTACGTGCCCTTGGCCGCATTTGAACCCAGGGCCCTTCAGTCCTTCGGCCAACGCTCTAACCACTGAGACAAACCCTCTGGGGCGGAAATACCTCTTTTATTATGACTGGCTATATTGGCATCACAAATAATGTGTATTTTAACACAGAATCCAGGCCCTTCACGAGGATGCCAACTTTCTTTTGCCATTTTCAAGATGTCTCTTGTAGGAAGACATATTTTCCCCTCACCTCCAGCGAGAATCTAGGTCTTTTCTCCCCGAGCGATGTCGGAAAACCCTAGATCGCCGTCGTGGAGCCACATCACCTACATTACCCAGAAGACCGTGCAGGGAGGCCGCCAGTTCAGCCAATGGAGGGTCAGAATCGGCGTTCCGCTGGGACTTGCGCAGGGGCGGGACTTCCGGCGTCTTCCACTCCGCGGGCGTTTCGTCTGCCAGAATTCGCTCCTGGACTCGGGCGGAGGGTTCTCAGCGTTGCGTCCCGGTGAAGATGCCGGGGACGAGAAGGCGCGGGAGTCGGGGTGCACACAGCACGAAGGCGGGCGTGAAGCTCGGCGACGCCGCCCGGGTGACCCGCGCCAGGGCCAAGACGGGCC